TTTTTTTTTTTTTTTTGCAGTTGTAGACAAACTTCATTTTGTAGTGGCGGTGGCAAAAGTGGCTATTTTAATTTAAAAAGATGCTGACTGACCCCTGCACTATAAGGAAAGAAACTCACCCAGTATAACATTTTCATTCTTTTGGCTGAGAAGTTGCCAGGTGACAGTACATCTTGTTTGGAGAGAGAGCAGATAAAATTTGCAAGTGAGCAGAGAGGTTTGCGAGCAGACATGTGATCTGAGCAGAGAGAAGTTTAGAGAGAACGATTTGCGAAAAAACAGTGAATATTTGAAAGAAAGTTTTGAGAACAAAGACATGAAGTCCTGCTTTCAGACTGAAAATGTGTACTCTTGACTTATGTCATTAAAATTCCCCCATATTTTTATTTAGATAAAAGATATGTTTACATGTAAATCTAAAGATTATTTGTTTCTGTCTGGGATAATTAGCCTTATAAGAGCCACAACAAATAGAGTACAGAAAGTACCTTAGTGCTAGGTTGACATAAAAACACACTACTTACTCATCTCTGGTGTAACATGGGTAGGGGAACATCTGGACATAGTTACCGGGTTCCACCACATCGTGACCCACAAATGTGTTGATTATGGCTCTCTCTATCATATCTAAAGGAAAACATCAAAGAGAGACACTAACCTTAGGAGAAAAACGACAACTTGAGGATAAATCTGTTTTTATTTGTCAGTGTGTGATTTCAATCTCTATGCTCATACTTGAATACAGGAGGCTGCAAATACTGCCTTGTAAGAAGCTTATTTTGGTCATGCTGTAATATTTACAACAAAAAATGAACTGATGCGTATGGTTAGCTTTGAAATAATGAAACTAGTGTAAACCTTTATATTTTTCTCATGATAACATTTCCAGGCAAAGAGAAAATATTTTTTTTAATTTCTCTCCAATTCAAATAAATGTACAAAGAAGAAATGGGCCTGCAGTGTCTGGATGAAGACTGTGCATTGTTCTTTTCTCTCCCTCTGCTTCCTGCAGAAAAGTCGACCTGCCAAGGAAAAGTGCTTCTGCCGCCGCTGGCTCAGGCATCTCTCCACAGCTGCTTCCAGCTCACTTTGCACACTGGTAAGCATTTTCTACCTATAAATGCTGGTCTTTGTAAACCAAAGAAAACAATACATTTGACCTGACTAATGCGCAGATCTAGGTCTTGATTTATGGCCCAGTCTCAGACAGCAGCACGTTGCCTCTGTACACAAAGTCCATCAATAAAGAGCATTTGGGCAATTTATGAATTGTAAAAAAATGCTGTTCTTAATCTGAGCTCATCCATGACTTGTCTGAGCTTCAATATGAACACAGTTTTACCCGTGATGGCAGTAGAAGCTCTGACACTTCATCACTCACATCTGCACATCTAAGTAGACTGAAAAACTAGTACCAATCAGGAGCATCAAAAGACTTACCCTGAATCCACACAAAACCATAGAGGAAGTAGAATTTCCCACCAGTGTTGGGCCCAGGTCGCCAGTAGGCTCTTCTGATTTCATTAGTTTTCTCTGTGAAGCTGGAGTTCTGTCTTATTTTGTACAGAACATGAGGTGGCAAAGAACCATCCTTGTTAGTCTGAAAAATCACGCCTGGTAACAGAAAAACATGTAGAACATCAAAAGTCCATCATCACCGTGATGGCGACTGAATGACCCCAAATTAGGGCTGGGGGATATGAGGAAAATCTAATATCCTGATATATTTTTGCTATATCACGATAGACGATATATATCAGGGTATTCTTAAATGAGCTCCAATGTTATTTTAAACTATAGACCCCTTGCAGCATGATGTCACCCACACAAGTTCCTGCCCCCATTTATCTGCTAGACTTAAATGTAAGCTCATATAAAAAGTGATGCAGTGTTTTGCTATGAACTGTCTACACACTATGACTAGATAACAAGGTGAGAAATAAGTTTTAACTAAGAAAAAAATACCAAGGGACAGAGAAGTAGGCCAGTTATGCTTGACTTTGACAAACTTAACATATAGATGTGCTGTGGAATAAGGTGCGTTTTGGTTCAGCTTAAAAATAAAAAAGGCGACCTACACACAAACTGACAGATCATCAGTGTTTAAATGAGCTAATTAGCCACCCTGTGTTAGCATGCTTAATAGCAGCGGTGGCTAATCTACCAGTCAGCAATGTTACCTCCTTTTGTTCGACATCCTCCATATAAAATCCAAACTACTGCTAAATTATTGATCGAGCGCCGTTTCTCTTCGGAACTAGACTAGTTCATCTGATTCCTCTTCAGTTACTGTCTCATTCACAGCTCAAACTCTTGCCATCACCATGTTGTTTGTTTTCTCCTCGCAGCGTGATTGGTAGAACATTTTCAGATTGGGAGGGGGGGAGGGACTAGTGATGCATGCATAGGGTGTCGGATAAACTATACTCAGTGAATTTGACGGCGAAAGTTTATTATTTGAACAACAATTTATACTCGATAGCTGCAATATAGCCATCTTAACTATTGTAAATTGAAATTATCACGGTACATCGAGTATGCTCGATATATCGCCCAGCCCTACCCCAAATGTTCCCAATCTCCAACGAATACATGGACAAAACATAGCTTTATAAAAATAACTATGTTCTCCATTTATTTGTGTTCACAGAAACAATGTAGACTAAAATTCTTGGCTGTCATGCATTATAATATTTTTCAGTTTTTTGACTGAGAAAAAGGATTTGTGGTCATGAGGTGACAAAATGTCAAAAGGTGTAAATATTTTAGTAAGGCATTGCAGGTAGAAAGGAGTGACTCACTGGCAAACACAGAAACATTGTCCTGGTAGGCCTGGTTCAGGGTGTAGTTGACTATGCTGTCCTCATCAGGGAAGCCTTTGAACACATCAACACTCACCTGGAAACATGGGGAAAAATATTCGTCCACAGCAAAATGGATTTAGACTGTTACAAACTATGCCTCAGTTAATATAAGTCATATTGGTTATTGATACTGATCTTGTTGTGTCAAGTCATTTGACTATGGACAAATATCCATTTGTCCATAGTCTGTGAGGACTGAATACTTTTAAGCCTAGGCTTAAAACTACATTTTTGATAAAGCTTAGAGCCACTTAGCTAAGTTACTCTGAGGTATCTTTGTAGTTATGCCTCCATAGGCATAATTGACCACTTCTTGTTCTGCTACTTTCTCCTTCTCCTCTTTGCTGTTAATTCAATCTTTAACAATCTTTAACAGAACCTGGCTCATGCTAAGCCAGTTTCTGGTCCCAGGTTCTGCTGAAAGTTTCTTTCTGTCATAGAAGAGATTCTCCTCTCCATTGAATAAATGACTTGATGCAATCTGATGGGTTTCCTTAGATAGAAAAACAATTTTAACTAATGTGAATAAACTGGAGTTGAGTCATGTTTAATAACTGTAAGATTGGATTGAATTGCCTTTTGTGTTTTGTAAAGTGGCTTAAGATGATGTGTTGTGAATTGGAACTACATAAAGACTTTTGGAGTTGAATTTTGTCAACTGTTTTCTATGAGCAGAGTTCAACCTAGTCTTTAGTCAAATACAGACATTTATCATTTTCAGCCTTGGAAAGCAGCAGTTCAGAGTCAGAGGAAACTCCTGCATCAAAAAACTTAATCAACTCACACAATATTCAGTCAAAAGCAAATTAACTAACCGAAATGCTATTCAGATGCTACTCAGATATCATGTCATGGGTTTTAGGTTTAAACTTACAATAATAGTCAACATCCACACCAATTGATCCCTGGAGTGCTGACCTTTGACATGAAACGTATCCAGCCGCAGGCAGCGTTGTCGATTGTGTCTAGCTGCTCCAGCAGGGTGGAGGTGTTGGGTAGCGTGTAGTTTCCCATCATCAGCGCCTGCATCAGCTCGCTGTCACTGCCGTTCAGCAGCTCCGGCTGCTGCTGCAGCTCTGAGGACAGCTGGACAAAGACAGGATGGATGAAATGACCCAATCAAAGCTGGATCCAAATACAGCACAATACACAAGTATTCACAGTCTCTACACTTTTCATATTTTGTCACGTTTCAATCAGAAACATCAGTGGAATTCAGTTTTGATTAGCAGACCAACACAAAAAATGCAGAATAGAGAAGTAGGCTGAAACAGCTGGTGTCCTCTTTCAGCTTGTTCCCTCAGGAAAAGTCAGAGCTACTGTCCTCTGTGTCCTCCACCCTTCATCACCACATCTATCCACCTCCTTTTTGGCTTCCTGCCCTGTGACTTCAACCTCAGCGTCCTTTAATCAATATCATCATTGTCTCTCTGAACATGTCTACACTGTGTCAGTCAGGCCTCTCTGACTTTATCTCAGATGTCCTCATTCCAGATCCCATCATCCTTGTCGCTCCCAAACAGAACCTGAACACCTTGAGCTTTGCAGCCGCCAATTCTGCGGCTGCAAAGTCTCAAAACGTCTCAAAACCATACATAGCTGCTCTCACCACTGTACATCTTTCCTTTCATTCTTGTGGTCACATTTTTATCACACCTGACTCTTTTCTTCATCCAATCAGACCTGCTTGCACATGCTTCTTCGCCTCTTTTCCACATTCTCCTTTGTTCTGGACCAATCACCCTAAAATCTTAAAGTTTCTACCTTTTAACTTCTTCTTGCTATAACGACCCTGTTCCACTTGTGCCCGCCCCTCTCATTTACACTCAGGCATTCTGTCTAGCTGCAGCTATTTTTCATACTTCTACATGTGCCCTGCTCTTACTGCAGATCATCTGCAAACATCATAAATCATGGAGACTCCTGCTACCCTGCTACTGGATTTCAATTACAATTACTCTAAATGGAACTAATTATGGATGGATGGCACAATTTTCTGAATTTTATTTGAATAAAAATATTGACAACCCTGTATCTTTTTCTTAAACTTACCAGTGTATGGAGCTAAAACGGCCTCATAATTCACAAATGCACAGACTAAGATTCATAAATGCAAAAGATCCACAAATGCACAGAACAAGCTTCACACTTACAAGCTCCTTCTGGCCTGTCAGTTGCACTGCATTTGTGTGTGAATTTTGAGACTCCCCCGACTTCTCACAATTCAGTCTTTTTTTTTTAAATAAATGGTCTAGCTGATTGGGTGATCAGCAACCAATCAGATAGCTTCCTTGTTTCAGCCAATCATATGAACGGAGCCCTATTGGGGGGCTGATCACCCAATCAGCTAGACCATTTATTAAAAAAAAAAAAAAAAAGACTGAATTGTGAGAAGTCGGGGGAGTCTCAAAATTCACACACAAATGCAGTGCAACTGACAGGCCAGAAGGAGCTCGTAAGTGTGAATCTTGTTCTGTGCATTTGTGGATCTTTTGCATTTGTGAATTTTGAAACCGTTTTAGCTCCATACCAATGTGCTACTTTGTGTTGGTGTGTACAAAGCAAAGCAATCCCACTAAAATACTTAGAGTCTCAGGTTGTAACACAGTAAGAAAATGAGAATGTTCAACAGGTGAAAACATTTCTGTACAACTTAGCAGCACTGTGTACCTGCTGGAGCCACAGCAGATGGCTCTGCAGGCGGCCCTCCTCCAGAAAGGTCCTGAGCTGGGCAGAGATGTTCAGCCACACCCGGGTGTAGTGAGTCACATTCCCAACAAACGCAAACGTCTCATTCGCCTAGGATTGAAAAGAGAACAAAGTCAACTATATTGACTTTTACACTATGTCCTTTCTAAAACTCTCATCTACAAACGTTGCCGAGTTCTCCAGTCTGCTTGGTCAGAGGCCTAAGGAGTCAATTCTCAACCAAACCAGAGTTAAAAGAATTAAACTCTGCCCAGAAAGTTTTTTACTGAATCTTGGTTATATCAAGATGCAGACGGTAAAATTATTCGAATCCTCTGTTCAGAGCTCTCTGATTGGTTCAGAGCTCTCTGATCTGTGGAACTGAATGCCAAACATGTCAGATATGGACTGGGATATGCTGTGAGTAATTCTATATAACATGCTCCATACCAGCTGCCTACTTACCTTCTGAATCACTTTGTCCACCTGAGAGCCAATGGGGGAGTAGAGGATCTTGGGATTTGTAGTCATCAGGTGAACGAGGAGGCCCAGGTTCCTTTGTTCTTTGCTGGTGAATCCCAGTGAGCTCATATTCCCCTGCTTCAGCGCCTCTGGCTCAATGATCCTGAAATAAAAGTAAGTCATCATCAAAGTCTTCTACTGAATCACAGAAAATCACTTTTCCGTCTTTTACATTAAAACCAGCTGTTACTATGGCTACTATTCAGTTTCCTACCTTATACATGAGTCTGCTGTATAAGGTATATAATATAAGTATAATATAATATAATATAATATAATATATATAATATAATATACTGTATAAGTCTTCCAAGACCTTGTTGCTAGTTTCTCCTCTACAGTCATGATACAAAATAGTAGCAATAGGTCAAATATACATGGAAATGTTCCACTGGCTTTCAGCCCTTTTGGCGTACTTTGACAGAGCTATGCATGTAGCAACAGGCTACAATCCTATCTTCTGTTTTGTCCTCAGAGCTTCTCCAGAACTCCATCCTGATCAGAGTGAGATTGTGTTCCAAGTCTATGAGTCTAGAAGTACATGATGACAGGGCAGCTTAAGGAGCTGCTTAGTTCATTTATGCCATGGTCCGGTTGTAAATGTGATCAGCATTACATGGTGTTAGATCCACTAGCTGATGACTTACTTTGGATTTATCAGAAGGGCAAATAACTGATATTTATTTTAATTGTATTTTTTTATTTGTTGTTTTAAGATTGTAGTTGTGAATTTAGGAATTGTTGGCAATGTCTTCCAGTAACATAATTACCCAGTAATATTTTTACATTTCCTGTCAACTTAACATATATAAAACAAAAACACAGTGGGTTGCTGGCGGACCGCCTCCATGCCCCGACCACCAGGCTTAGCAAGGTTTCCAGGGGAGAACAGTTTTTCTCAGGAAATTCAAATGAACTGTTCTCATCTCTGAAAAGAAATGAATCTTTTTCGACACATAGTAAATATTTTTTGTGAAGACCAAAGATTATCATCAGATTGCTTAAGTGCTTGTTAAATATAAGAAACTGTTTGATTTATTAATTATAAGAAGATGCAAATAAACAAATAATTAAGTATCCGTTTAAATAAGAAAAATATTTTATTGCCTAAACTGCAATAAGAACATTCCTTTAGTGAATGCCTCATCATTTGGAGCAAAGGCTGCAGCTAAAAACACTTCTAACATCAACATGTGAAGAGCTCAACACTTTCATCAGCACAGTATAGTTCTGACCTGGGGATGATGCAAAAGATGCTTAGTAGGAGATTTTTGTTTTTAATTAAATTTGGACTAGATGAAGCTAAAACAGCCACTTGAAGAGTTTTGGATGGAAAATATTTAAGTAATTGCTCATTTTAAATACAAAATCTTTTGGCTTCCTTCCTTAGGTCTGAATGAACTGTTCTTTAAGCAAATGGCCTTTTGTTGAGTCTATGCTTAAGTTAATAAATAATAGATTGCTGAACTAGCTGATGACTTTCCGTTAATTGATTGATTTATTTATTTTTTTTTTTTTTTACCTTTTTTGACCCAGTTTTAATTTCTTAATTTGGACTTTATTCCAAAACCATTAGACTGCATTAGTATAAAATAATGTTATCTGGTCCTGCTCTAGGTCGGAGCTTTCACTGACTCATGTTGAGATTTCACCCACCTGTTGTTCCCACACAGAATGGGCTGCAGTCCTGCCCACAGCTGAACAAACGCTGAGAACTGAGAGTGAGGATTCTCCTCCCCCTCCTTCTTCCCTCCGCCCTCTGCCCCCTCCTCTCCGTCTTCTCTGGGAACATCTGTTGTGTTGATGCTCCATGTGGTGGTGTTCAGAGGCCACGTTCCGTTGCTCGTGGATACTGGGTTTTGCCCGGCGCATGCTCCTTTGGGGAGCAGGCGAGCCAGTCCAGACAGCAGGTCCACGTCCTTCAGGAGCCTCTCCACATCAGCCAGGTCCTTCAGCAGGGCACCCAGCTGGGACTGGGACAGGGGGGCCACAGGGCCGGCCTGCTCCGCATGAAGCTACAGAGTCACACTTTGGTCACTTAAAATAACATTTAAAAGCCAATACAATGTTTTTTTTTCCTTGGAGAAGAATTACTTTGTTCCGTTACTTTTAACATGGTGCAAAAATCTATATTATTCATCTGTTACATTTAAATTGTTTTGTAAGGGTTTCTTTTACTCAGTAAAATCAGGACAATCAGGGATTGCAGACCGATTTCTTCATCCATTCCATAAGCCTGTCACTTTCTTAAATAAAACTGTGTGTCACACAAAAACATTGATTTGTGGACTGAGCATCTATTGAGGTCAGAAAACTCCAAAGCATTTCCCTCCACACAAACAGAAAACAGAGCAGCTTTTTATCCAGACAGCAAGATGTTTCCTCTTTGCTTTACAGAAATGGCCACCTGCTGCCTTCTGTACACAAAGCTATTGTGTACAGAATAGCTTTGTGTACAG